ACCCCTTTGCTTCAACACACACACACACACACACACACACACACACACACACACACACACACACTGAAATTGGGTACAGAACCCAAAATAATTGCTGGTGTCTGAGAATTGCTTGTTGGTGCTGGGAAACCCCTCTGCTTCAACACACACACACACACACACACACACACACACACACACACACACACTGAAATTGGGTTCAGAACCCAAAATAATTCCTAAAATATCCATGTAGTTATGTGTTTTTATTTATTTGTTTGTTTGTTTGTTTAGTTGATGTTTTAGAAACAGAGGCAAAAAATCCTTCATGCTAAAAAGTGTCTTTGATGAAAAGAATTGCCAAAATGATTCATGCCACGGAACGCAGTTTTAGAAGTCAGATAGGTAGTTTTTACCTAAAGTTTTCACTTGGGGTGGCTTTGGGATTGTGCCATGAATCTCCATTCTGGCTCATTGCCTGAACAGCACGGGTGATAAGGAAACAGCTGCATGTAAGCATTTGCTGTGTGAAAGGATAGAAAATGTAGGTACCGGCCCTTCCAGGGAGGCCTCATTGCTGTAGCAGTTTATCCCATTACTAGAGACGTGCTGTGCTGATATCCCACATTCAGCTGTTGACCGGCAGCCTGGCCCTCAGCTTTAATAGGGAGCATATGATCACTCCAGCTGGCAGGTGACACCATCTGGCAATGTTCCCCGGCAGCTCAACAAAAGATTTTCAAATATCAAAGCAAGGGAAAGACCTCTGCCTTTTTTTTTTTAAGTGGTTTGATTGTGCATGCATTTTGCTTCCAAAAGAATTATTGCTTCTAACTTGACGAATTCTGTGAAGGAAAGGGCACCCTAGGAGAATGAAATTAGCTCAAAAAATTTGTTAACTTCTCATTTACATTGATAAATAAATAGTAACGTATAGGAAATTTAATTTTGTGTTTAAAAAGGACTGCACCTTGAATGTAGTTAAAGCTTGGAAAGGTTTGTTGGTTTTTTATTTGTTTGTTTTTTAAAGATTCCATCTGAAAACAGGCCTGTAAGAAATTAGACTGGTTAGGTTTGAAAACATAAGTGTCTTAAATTTTATTGGAGAAAGGGACCTTAGTGGTCTTTTAGGAAAATGTTATTTCACCAGGTAGGGAAAGCTATGGGGCAGAGTAATTGCCACCAGGTAAGAGTCATGCAACTCAAGAATGGCAGCTTAGGAAAGTCTGGGGGCTCTTGACTCTGAGCACAGAAGTCATCATTTTCTAACTTGCTACAGATTGGGGACTCAGAAAAACTGTGCAGTCCTCTGGGTCCATTCACTTTTTTCATTGAAAAAGCAAACAGTAGATTAGTAGGAAAAAATACATGTATCTGAGCATTATGTTCTTGTATTCATCTCTAAATATAATTTTAACATTAAATCTGTTCAGATGTACTCCTAAGGTATGGGACCATAGAAAGGACTGTCAATTGGCTGATGGCTCTCAGGACCATATCAGTCATGTACCAGTATATGCAAAAAATGCATCTACCTCAAAAAGCATGTCTTTTTTTCTGAAATAGTCACTAGAGTTACAGTAATACTCTGTATGTGGTCTAAGCCCCCTTACCCTTACATTTTGCTGACCAGGATTAAGACAGCCACTTTCATTCTTAGAACAAACTTCCTAATCAAATAAAGTGTGTGGCCATGTTGTCATAACAGAGTATCAAGCCCACAAATATATTTTGCTTCATACAAACAAAATGAAAATTTAATCTTCTCTGAACACCAAGTTGTGTTCGTTCATATAAAATTTGGGGGTACTTGTTGATATTATGAAAAGGTTTAGGGTAATATCCTCTATATAAACAATCTTCCTGTAACATGAATAATGTAATTGAATTGATTTGTACCTTTACAGAAAGAAAAAAAATGTTCTTTAATTCAATAAGATTATAAGTGCTTACTATTGACTTCTTCTGTAGGAGCTAAAAAAGACAGATTGCTAAGGATCCTGTTTATAGATAAAATGTTCTTAAGTGCCCAAATGATTTCTATTTATGAAAAATCATATGAATTCATCACACTCCATTGGCCTAATGAAGAAGCTAGGAAGTGAGCTGGGTTTGGGGGTTACCACAGGTTAGCAGACTCATGAGTCATCCAATACCACCAGTGTGGTGCTTCTCAAGCTATCTATGTTAAAGAATCAGATTCTGGCTGATTTTTATCTCTGTGTTTATTTGATTTCCTACAGCTCCAACAATATGGCTGTACTGTGTATGTCTAGCATGTAGCTCATGCCATATGCCTCTCACCATAGAATTCAACATGAACAAAACTGGCCTATACAATGTTCAGTGAATTGTGTCATGCACTTGAGGGTTGCAGACTTCAAATTGCTGTAAAAATGCCTCAGCATTTACTTTCAGTTCTGTGCTTAGCTCATTGCACAGCCCTCAGGAGCAGTTGCACACATCTATGGACCACATTTTGACTAGCCCTGAGCTAGTGGGATTTCCTGTACTTCAAAGGCAGAAAACTATATCATACAACAAAGTGTGCAAAGTTGCTTGCAGCCAGGTTTCTGGATCTGACTTAGACTCCAATAGCGTGCTAGATCTGGGCTTGGATTTTAAACTGAAGTCAGAAGGAAGAGGCAGAAGTACCCATTTAACAGGGGAGTTAGTGCCAGAAATGTGGCTTCTTGTAGCCACCAAAGAAGCTTTCTGGATCAGAGAAACGGTGAAGTGATTCTGAGGGCTGAAAGCTGGAGGCTTGTCTTAGAAGCCTTTTCCTCCAGCCTATCCAATTACTGTACAAACCACCTAATATCTGATACTAAATTTCCTTTTGTGTGATTTAGTCAGTTCCCATTATCTGAAAAAAATAAGGCTGCACTAATAAAGATTCATTTGCCAATTGTAATTATTGGGTGGCTTTATATTTTTCGACCGATTAGCAGTTAGCTCTAGTCCAGTGTTCTCAAACTTCATTGTGCATATGGATCACCTGGGAATGTGAAAATACTTGTTCTTATTCAGTAGGGTAGCCTGGGGATCTGAAATTTTGCGGGTCTATCAAGCTTCCAGTTAATTGAGATGGCGTCGGTCCCCAGACAACCAACAAGCACAGCTCATGCCTTTGACTTCCCAGAGGGTCATGTTCTCATGAAAATCATAATGAACTAGAATAGATAGTTCCCCTAAGCTCTATAGTGTCAACTTTTTGCATGGCCAGAATAAAGGAGAGAATGGTTAGAGGATGGCAGCTGAATAATTTAGCAACCATGGATGATTATATTTAGTTTCACTAACAATAAAAAAATGAAGTTAATAAATATCACAGTGCTCATGGGCCTACCAAGGTTCACCGTAAGGCCATGTGTGCATTATGCAAGCCTAAAATGAACCCCAGTATGTGAGCGCTCAGCTACTCTTGTGGCCTTAGCTTTTTTCCTCTAATATACTCATGGTTTCTAAAAGTATAGAAGTCATCCACAAATTTACCAAACCCTGAACCTCCTGTCTGGGTCTACCTACTGGGTGCTTCTCTCTCTTGGATATGCTCTGGGTACATCCATATTAAATCTCATGAAGGATAGGACACGTATCCAAGAGGAAATTAAATAGGGAGAATTTTGTAAGGGAAGAAATATAGAGGTTATCATTTGGATATTATTTTGCCTGATTTCATAGATAAACTCACGAGTATAAGTGTGAAAACTTGCTTATCATGGAAGTTTTGCTCTGTGGTTAGTGCTATATCTAATGCACTGTTAATTCTCAATACATGATATTTGAGTAAAAATGGGATTTTAGTCCTCTCTGTGGTTATAAGAAAAACAGAGCTGACTCACAAGGCCCTTTGACCACCACTCGCACTTCATCCTACTTCCCAGACTTCTCAACTCAGACAAATTGACTTTGATGCTTCTAGCTGTCTCCTAAGAGTGCAATTTTTGTACATATGCCAGTAAAATTAAGAGCATTGAATGTGAGCTAGTACATTAAAATGGACCTGCCTCTGTATGGTTGATTACCATAGTTAAATATAGCACCTTGAATGACAAGCAGAACCGTCAGTGCATTCTCCCATTGGAACAAATGGCTCTATCGTGGCGACAGACTGCCTGTTTCTCATAAACATGCATTTTTGGTCACTGAGAATGGGCAAGAGTTCAACTAAGAATAAACACAAGGCCTTTCAATTCCAGGAGTCTTCTCAAAGTGCATATGCCCTTAGTCATGGACATATATAACATCATCTTCATCTTCATATATAGACATTACAATTTAAAATCCAACATTCCTGTAATCCAAGAAGGCATAGATAGATAAGAGTTCAAACATAAATACTTTTCAGTAAATATTAGATATATATTTACTAGATATACCTATAGTAATGGATATAGTACTAGATATACCTATACCTATGGATATAAATGGATTCTATTTCTAATGCTTATGGTATATTTAATAATTAAGATATCCATATATATACTGTGTATTAAAGTGTGAACTGGAAAAGTTGATTTATTTGAATAAACATGCATTATAAGTGACAACGAATGTTACAAATGATATTAACGATAATGTTAAGCAAACTACTTTTTCTATTTAAAACCATATTGTATTGAGTTAGCCAGGCATGTTTATTTAATTAAATCACTAAACAGAATGGAAATTATCATACGGTAACAGTTCTTGGTTTCTCATTTTCTAAATTAAAACAAATCTGGAATGAGTGAAATGAACAATATGGTAAACTTCGTTTCAGCTAATTTTGCTTAGTCCCTTTATTTCCTATTGCCCATTAATGGTTTAACTACTCTTACAAAATTGGAGGAAATGCAAATGTTAGCTTTGGGTCTAACTGCTTTTACACATCATAAATGTTGATGTATTTTCAATGAAATTAGAATTCCACCTCCAAGTAGAAATAAAAATGTCCAGGCTGATTTCACTGTGGAACACAGAAGACCAAGTTCATAACTGCCTGTGTGTGTGATGAGAATATCAATGCTCTTTTGCAGATTGTGCCAGCAGGAGAAGCTGCCAATGACCTTCCAGTCCTGTGTGATCACCAAAGAGTGCCAGGTGTCGGAGTGGTCAGAGTGGAGCCCCTGCTCAAAAACGTGCCACGATATGGTATCCCCTAAAGGCACTCGCGTAAGGACACGGATCATCAGGCAGTTGCCTATTGGCAGCGAGGAGGAGTGTCCAGAACTTGAGGAAACAGAACCCTGCGTGTCTCAAGGAGAGGCAGCTGCCCCCTGTGCCACGTGAGTAAATAAGGCTGCAGCCTCTGCTGCCATCTCTGCCCAAATGGCAAGTCTGTTCAGCTGTTTAAGTTCAGCTGAAGAGTCGGTTGAGAAATAGTGATTTTTACAAATTTTAATTCTGAGAAGAAAATATCTCTTTACAAACACTATCCTAAAAAAATGATTTTACCCTATAAAAGTGTCTTTAGCAAGCTGTATTTCCAAATCTCCATGAGGGCTAGACTTTTAGCAGCAATTCTCTCTTTATATATTTTCTATAGTAGGTATTAGCAAACTTCTTTTTTAAAAGAGGAAGAGTGCAAATGTATTAGGCTTTATGAGCCAAATAGATGCAATTCTATCTCTGGAGCTACAGATAATATGTAAATGGGTGTGGATACATTCCAATAAAACTTTATTTATAAAAGTAGAAGACAGGTTGGATTTGGTTGTCAGGCAATACAAGCTCCATCCTATAAGGTAAAGTAAGAAAGTCCTATTAAAATTCAGTACTACATATAACAAATTCTATTGAATAAAATAAAATACTACATTAAAATAATAAGACTTGAAGCTCCTTGAGGACAAAGATTATGCCTATTCACTTTTTTAAAAACTGAGACGCATATAACTCAGGGCCTGACGCACAGTAAGCACCCAATAAATGTTCATTGAATTCAGATAAATTTTGAAATATTTGGCACTATAACCTTTTTCTTTTTGTCATTAAAATATGATTTCCAGGACATTACTTTGAATCATCTTCACAATAAATACATTTCAGTTTTGTCTGAATATAGACTATTTAGAATATTTATAAAAAACAACTTTGAGAATCCTAGTTTCTCAGTAGATACATACAAGCTTCATTAGGTTTTTCTCTGGAGTAGTGCATACATTTAAAGAACATGAACTTCATGAACCAGTGAGGAGGAAAATACTACTCCTACTCCTCTTCTAATAAGAATAACACTAACAAGGATAGTGATGGTTTACATGAAATCTTCAATTCTGCAGCACTTTGGAATCCTCCATTCTCCCGTGATATAACAGGTGACTGGGAACCCCAGAGAGCTTCCTGCCTGTCTCTTCCACCGGCCCCACTGACTCCTATGCTCCTCTTCACATAATAGGCTCCAGGAGTTTGCCTGGATCTCCAGCCAGAGTATTTGTCTTCAATGAATTTCTTTTATTTTTGTCTCAAGCTAGGTGTTTTATTCTTTCTCTTCTCAGATATTCAAGCACCATTAACTATATATAATATATATATATATATATATATATATATATATATATATATATGTGTGTTCTGAGTCTCTTTATCTCCCCTCCGCCCCCAGGTTTTGGGGGAATAGCATTTTTAGAATGTGTCACCAATTTACTCTGCCCCTCTCCTCATTGATTTCAGCGAGGAAAGGAGAGGGAGAGAGAGAGAGAAACATCAGTGATGAGAGAGAACCATGGATCGGCTGCCTCTTGCACACATCCCCACTAGAGACAAAGCCCGCAACCCAGGCATGTGCCCCGACTGGGAATTGAACCATGACCTTCTGGTTCATAGGTTGATATTCAACCACTGAGACACGCCGGCAGGACACCAATTTACATGATTGATATTTATTCCTTTCATAGGACTCCGTAGGTGACCTAAATTGAGACTGCATTCTATAAAAATACAAAGTGTTAATTTAACTCCCCTGATGAATGATTTGTTTGGTTTTCCTTTTCTCACACCCCTGCCTGCCACCTGCCGCACTTTGCCCAAGGCATCAATTATCCATGTTTTTAGAATTAACCTGAATGCTGTACTTCCTTTATAAACATGTGTCAAGACTGTTATTACTTGATGCCCCTGTCCTGCACCTCTGTTAAACCATGAACCCTCACTTATAAAAATGAAAAAGGGGCACAAAAGTCACCTCTCCTGTCATGAAACTTTCCCATTGACAAAGCAGAGCGTCTAGATCAGACATCTGAGAGCCCATTTAATCTTTCCTTCTAATCGAGATGAGCATTAGCACATCCATTTGTACCTGTGCTGGCTGTTAATCTGATTAGTAGGGAAGCATCTTGGTTAAAGTGACACAAAGTGCTGCATGAGCCATTTTCTTTGTGCTTTTAGACTATCCATTTTCCTTGAGGTGGAGAAATGCCACCAGTTCCTATCTGCATTGGCATCAGGAAATGGTTCCCTGACTATCTCCTTAAAGCATGTGCTGGGCTGACAAGCTCCTGATATTTCTTCCACATCATAATCTTGATTGGAGCTTTAATTTAGAATCACAGATTGTCTTTCCTGTGATCCACTGATTAGAAATGTCAGCTCTTTTCATCATTTATTAGCACTCGTCAGGGATGCTCAGTGCTACAGAAAAACACGCATTCTTTTTTGTTGTTAATGCTCACCCAAGGATATTTTTCCCATTGGTTTTTATTTATTTAATTAATTAATTAATTAATTTTCTTATTGTTTAAAGTATTATATATATCTCCTTTTTCCCCGATTGACACCCCCCCCCCTTTCCATTGTTTTTTTAGAGAGAGTAGAGGGAGAGAGATACTCATTTATTGGTTGCCTCCCTCCTGTGCCCCAACCAGTGCCAGGGATCAAGCCTACAACTCTGAGGTGTGTGCCCTTGACTAGAATTGAACCCTGACCCTTCAGTCCACAGGTCGATGCTGTACCCACTGAACAAAACTGGCTAGGGCAAAAACACTCATTCTTGACAATGAAGAGAAACCTCTAAATTGTTGTTATATTTTTTAATCCTAAATCACAATTATAATTTTGATCTAGTATGAAGAAGCAATTTTCATGCATTTTATTACAGGCAAAACAAATGTTGGGGTTGATCATCACTTGTAATGTTTTCCATTCTCAGATTCAGTCCCCCTTTGTTTATAAGTATTGAAAAAGGGCAAGCCTGAGTTTAGCTTAACTGAACATAAAATTTTATGTTTTCAGCATTATGCTATCTTGTAATAAAATATTTATAAGCAATTTTCAGTGATTGCAATTAAAACAAGATCATCCTAAATTAAACTCCTCCTTAAATGGAGCACTGTTGAGGATGAAGGAGAAGAAATTGAATCTGAATCTGCACCGGAGATATGGTAGTTTACGATTGCTTCAATAGGAAAGTGTTTTTTAATTACTTTTTTAAGAAAAAAAAATGAGCAGAGCAGAGTTTTTTCAGTAAACATGGCTGCCGCTGATGGCATTTTCTGTGTTCAGGTATGGCTGGAGAGCCACAGAGTGGGCCGAGTGCCGCGTGGACCCTTTGCTGAGTCAGCAGGACAAGAGGCGAGGCAACCAGACGGCCCTCTGTGGAGGGGGGGTCCAGACCCGAGAGGTGTACTGCGTGCAGACCAATGAAAACCTCCTCTCACATTTAAAGACCCACAAGGACAAAGATGGTAAGCTGTGTTTTATTCTCAAGGATCACACATGGAGACTGAGCATGGGATGCTGCAGGAATATATACCCAGCCTTCTGGGGCATGCATAGCCATATTTCTGTTCACATTATGGTTGCTGTCCACTATGGTGAACAATAATCCAAATTTTGGTCGTAATAATTTAATGCAATTTCATCTTTTGTCAGTTGTGATTTGCTGACAGATCTATCATTAAATTTTCTAACTTCAGGCTCTGAGTGAAAATTTAGGAGTAATTATTTACAAAAATGGAATAAAACCTAATCTTGTAATTATATGCAAAGAAGTATATGTTCTAAAGCCCAAGTTTTCTTTGCTTGGTATAAGAATTACAACCTGCTTATAAAAAAATACCTCTTTTTTCTATTTATAATGTGGTTGAAAAATATGTTAATTGTAGTATTTAGTAAAAATTTCAATTTGAGTTTAAATGAAATCAATACAGAATAAATACAGAATCAAACTACAGTAAAAACAAAACAAAAATAAACCTTTAACGCAAAGGTATGACTTATTTTAATCTTTCAATTAAAGACATTTTAGAATATTTTTGTTTAAATCTCAATTTTGGACCAGATATAATCAAATGTACAAAAGGATAAGTGATTTCAAGATGACCAGGTCTAAATGTATATATTATCACATATTACTATTACTCTGAAATTCTAATCATTATTGAATCAAGTTTATATTCAATTAGTAGCTTTTATGCCCATACAAATATGGATATTTTTAAGTAATGCTATAAGCTAACCCTCTTACATTCCCCTCTACCTGAAGGATAATCTATCCTTCTATCACTAATGTATTCAATGTATATTTTTTAGTTAACAACAGAGTTCCAAAAATTATGTAGGGTGGTGAGGGTAGAAATGTCAACACAAATTTTGTGTCAGGGAAATGTTCATGGTCATCATGAGAGCACATAAACAAGCCAGTAGTTAATAATGCAATATGCTATGCGTTATAAGTGAGTTTTAGAATAACTGTAGGGGGATCACAGAAACAGAAACCTTCATAGAGGAGGGAAGTGGTACTTGAGCTAAGTAATGAGGAGTATGTGCCATAAAGTTAAATGGGTCAGGAATGCAAAAGGGAACAGCATTAGCACACCATTAAAGAGAAGCAAAAAAAGAGAAAAATCTTGCCAGAAAAAAATGAGTGTGTTGTATTTAGCAAGTTGTGGGTATGATGGGATAATTCCCCAGCAAATATGTTGGTTGGAAAGGGTAAAGAATAAACACCTTAGTTCATATTAACAGAGACCAAAAAAGGAGGCAGGAGATACACAGAGAAGGAATCTGATAAAGAATAACCAGAAAAAAAGAGGAAAGAACCAAGAGAAATGGGTGTTCGAAAAACAAAAGATGACTCCACTGCCTCCCCGAAAAGGAGTGGCAAAAGTGACCAGCAATTCATGAAAAGCAATCACGGAAGTTTTGCATGTGTAACTTGCAAAATTTAATTGTTTTTTACCCACTAACTTTACATAGCTTGTCAACTCATTTAGGAATCTAGCCTCGGGATACATTTTACTACTAATATATCTTGAAGTTGTAAGGAAGTAGTATAAAACATGTAATGTTAGTACATTAATATTTTCTTGGCCACGTTAATGGCTACATTTTTAACACTCTTAGGTGGATTTATTATAGCCGTCCTCTCAGAGTAGTATAATTTCATTGCTAGAGGTAGTTCAGAGTTTAGTTTCTGAATGTCAATTATGTCCTGTAGGTTATTACTTTCAAAAGAGCCTTTGGGGTTTGGAATTGGAACTGGATACATTTTTAAATCATTTTGTCATGGATTTTCCCTACTGCTGTCAAAACACAGCAGAGTACCAAAAATAAAAGTCACACCAAAAGGGAAAACAAAAAGAATATTATTGTAAGATGTATCTTTTGGAGTAACAAATGCCAAAGCAAAGATCAGTGGATATGGAAATAATCAGTTCTTCTGAAATTAATATTTATCATAGAAGCATGTAACATGAATAACTTAGGAATATGCATCCTTTCATGTCACACAGCAAGACTACTATAATCCTCTTTGGAAAAAAAGTTGATTTTTCCCTAAAAGTTTCAGCTTTTACTTCTCGAACTTAGACTATATAAGTTTCCCCCCAGAAGCACTTAGCATTTCCCAATTGGAAACTTATTCAATACAACAGCATCCCAAGGACTGTAAATATGTGTGAATGGAGCACAATTTGACTGTGGGATGTGAAGAATGTTCCATGTATCTTCATTCAATAACTATGAAAGAATGAAGGCTTACTTTACGAAGAGAGGGAAATCTCTCAAAATAACTCCCTCCATCAATTCTAAAAAGAAGGTACTGATCTCAAGAAAGTCTGGCTGTGTCATCATGAACAACCTACCCTAAGAGCAATTTATGTTATACTTCATTTGAAGAACAAAATCTACACTTGTTTTGGCAGATCTATACTATGTATTCTAGAAAAGTTGTTTTCACATGTAACCAAGCTATTAAAATACATTAACTCAAAATAAAATACTTAACTCAAAAATACAATTTCTTGATACAAAAATACTGAAAAAAAGATATGAAATTCATATAACTTCCTTTATTATCTTGGCATATCATATTACACAGGTACTGATCACCTTAGCATAATTTAATTCAATTTTCATGGCCTCGTGTCCTGTGAATCAGTTAACAGTAGTAAAGGCAACAATGAATAGAAATACTTAATGTGACCTAGGTAACCCTTCCAATCCTGACCGCGGGGAAGAGCTAGCAGTAACACTCGGCAATTTCTGTTCAGCCAGCTGATGAGAGTTCCAGTAGGCTGAAAAGTGTGCCGCTTACGCTGGCATGAAATCTACCCTTATCAGAAAGTGGCAGGAAGAAGGCTTGCCCATGGCGAGGTTACTGGTATAAGCCCTAGAAAGCTGATGAAACGTTGCTGATCATTGGATGCATGAACATAAATTGATTTTTTTACAAGCTCAAAGTGAAATGAAAGTAGATTAACTACAGTGATTAAGAAATTCTTCCATTCAAAATAGATTGAACATATTTTTAAATGAGGGAAACCAAAAGTATTGGTTATAAAGCACCATGGCCGAAACCGGTTTGGCTCAGTGGATAGAGCATCGGCCTGCGGACTGAAAGGTCCCAGGTTCGATTCCGGTCAAGGGCATGTACCTGGGTTGAGGGCACATCCCCAGTAGGAGATGTGCAGGAGGCAGCTGATCGATGTTTCTCTCTCATCGATGTTTCTAACTCTCTATCTCTCTCCCTTCCTCTCTGTAAAAAATCAATAAAATATATTTAAAAAAAAAATAAAGCACCATGGAGCTTGCCATGATTTATATTATAGGAAACTTAAGAACATTCTTTGGTAGAAAACATATCTAATAATCCACAGTGAAATCTGGATGAAGTCTGTAGGATTTGAGGTTATTAAGAAAGACAACCTGGATAATGAGCCTGTAGGATGACAGAGCATGAGATAAATCAGCAGAAAGTTCTGGAGGATCAATGGGAAGATGGATGGAGCGAAAGATGATTGAGCTGTGAATGGATAGACAGAAGGATGAACAAAGAGCTCATGTTTTCCCATGCTCTGCAACCAATTAAGGAGAATAAAAATAGTCACTATCCCTAAATGAAATACAAATTCTTTATAGTCTTTGTAGTCTTTTATCTACCATTTCCACAAACTAGCCTACTTTAGTCAAAGCTATTTAAAAAAAAAAAAAAGGCTATTCTTACAGTGCTATTTCCCTGTTATTTCAGGAAGTAAATATCAGAGTACACCAAAGGCTAGTGCTGCACCTTTCCTATCCATCGCTTTGGAAATAACAGGTAGGTGAGAATATTGAACATGACATCTTAATCAGAGATTCTCTACAAATTCTCTGATACAATGGTAGAAAATATAGTGGTTTATTTCTATGTTGCTAGAAATATATCAAAGCTGTCCCATAAAATATAAATGATTTAATGTTTCTTTGATTATCTGTAGCATCATTACATGGGTGTAGATTATAGAAAAACATAAAAATATTTAAAAATGTACTTATGTAAAACTATCACTAGGACCCCACAATTATAAAAACAGATATGTGAAGTTTGGTTGTGAACACTTTTTTGAGATAAATTAATGAAGGTATGAATATTTTTCATAATTTATCATATTTTAAAGCACAGTTCTTTGTGCTCTACTAATATCAATATGGTAAATGAAAAAGGAATTAAATCACACAATGGCTACATTTTAGAAAGAACCCACACTGAGGCGGGAGATGTCCAAAGCACTATAATACAGACAATCCCTGAATGAACCAGACCCTTCTTGGAAATTAGATCTCTGGATATTTTGTGGGAGAGAAGCGCTGTTGCCCTGTGAAGTTTCTCTGGATCAGTAGAGTACAAAATAGAAAGAGAGATGCCAAGAGGTTTCAGCCACTGTGATAGAAGCTAATAAAAATGTACCTGCTGGGAATTGGATTAGCTGGTCAGTCGTCTACCCTAGTTGGAATTTTTAGTAGAGGAAGAGCTTACTAATGAGATACCAGGAAGTATTCAACCAAAAGGATATAAAAGAAATATATGATGAAGCAGCTTGGATATCATGTAAACATGAAAACAGTACTTATACTACCTTTGATTTGTTCAACATTTAGTAAACACTTGCTATTTTTTTTTTCAAAGGTCTGGTGAGATTTTTATTTTTCACTGATACATATTTCTTTTCTTTTTATACATACATACATATATATATATATTTTTATTATTATTAGTTAAGGTATTACAAATGTGTCCTCATCCCCCCCATTAACCCCCAACCTCCCCCCCACCCCACCCCACACACTCATGCTCCCATCCCCCTGTTGTCCATGTCCATTGGTTTGGCTTATATACATGTATACAAGTCCTTCGGTTGATCTCTTACCCCCGCTCTCCCCTACTTGCTATTTAATATGTTTGTCCTCTCATTTGTAAAATAGTTCAATTTAATTAGTCTGAAAATTATCTCTTGAACATATCAAACACGCTTTCTTTAAAACTTTTTCTATTTCAGCAAGAGTTTATATTTACCCCCTAATAAACATTTATTCAAACCTCTGAGTTGGAATAGAGGAAACATGATTTAGTTGTTAAATCAAATGACAAGGGTCATAATTCATGCACATTATTTCAAGTTGGCCACTCATTTCAGAGAACATATATTATATCTATATTCTCTCTTCTAATAATACAGATAGCTTTAACATCATTTGAATTTTTATCCTAAGGCTACTTTCAGAAGCACACTAGACTATCAGAAGACCTGGTTTTTATTTCTGCGTGACCCTGTTCCCTTATCCACACTACTTAACTTTTATTTGCCTGAAAAGGCCTACTTAATGACTCTGCAATATAACTGGAAATGGAACAGCAGAATAACTGAATATCATCCTATATAGAACACCTAGACATGCAGACTACAGTATTGTTTTAAATGCTTTTAGGAGCAGAACTGATGTCTTGAAACTAAGTGATTCCTCAAAACAAACCAGGAAAAGTGAACTAATGCTTTCTGTGGTTGTCCTTGGGTAGGGATGGTACAGGAAGAGGGTTACACATTAAGGAGACTTGGGGGCAGTGAAGCCCAAAAGGGTCGTAACATAAAAGTCTTAGCCAGAGACAGAGAGCACAAGCAGACATATTGCATTACACCGTCCACCTCAAAGGGCTGTAGCATCAACGAGTGAGCAGAGAAACTCAATTTACCTCTGGAGAGAGATGATCAATAGCAGTCAGCCTCAGCCTCAGGTTGTGGCAAAGTCAAATCTCTCCTAAAAATTCCCACTATAGGCCTGTACCCACACTAGTTTAAGTTTCAAATTTATGGTACTTCCATGTGTCCAAAGACAACTGAGAAATTAACATAAAAAATGGTGCCAGGCAAATGGTACCACCAGTGCCTGACATAAGCAAAAACAAAAATTCTGAAGAGGGAATCCCTTTACCAAGCCACAGGATTTGCTGAGATCAACTGCACCATTAAAAATTGCAGACTACACAAGGAAAGGTAATCTATTGTAAACAGGTTTTTAAATGCCCAACAAAGAGTAAGGCTAGACTCAAGGTTGGGAATATTAGAGATAGCAGATAGAGATCATAGAATGCATATGCTAAAACTTATTAAAGATGTAAAGGAAAAAATTTAAATATTAGATGTAATGAGTCAATGAAAAAAGAACAGATTTAAAAAGAAATAAGTTCCAAAACAAAAAAGTACTTTAGCTGGAAATAAATACGGTAAATGGAGAGATCAGAGAAATTAAGCTAAACAGTTATTAGTTAACTGAAGATAAACACAAGAAATTGATTCAGAATGCAACACTGAAAAAAGAAGTTGAAAATATATGTGAAGAAAAAAGTTAAGCAGATTTAAATAAGAAGATTCAAAATGAGAGAATCAAGGGAAAAGATGAATTTTCATAACTGATGAAAGACAGGACTGTGCAGAGTCAAGAAGAAAGTTTTCAGGCAGGAGAATAATATATGCACATTTAGGCACAATGTAGTGAGATTATAGCTCATAAAATACAAGAACATATTAAAAAGAATTAGAAGTTAAAATTAACTGCAAAGGAATTAACAAATTAAGAGTAAAATTTCAACAGCTGCAAAGAAAGCAAAATAACAAAAATGATGTATAAAAGGTACTGAGAGGAAAATAACTTTCAACTTAAATTATTTATCCAGCTCCTTGTTATTATATATTGTGGGCAAAATTAAGACACAAGTAGAGGGGTTTACCTCATTAAACCCTCACTGAAAGAACTGCTAAATGATAATGTTTAGGAAGAAGGAAATTGAACCCAGAAAGAGAAGAATACAAGATGTGCAAAGAATTTGGAAAACACCTGGGTAATCTATCCTATATAATAAAAGGCTAATATGCAAATTGACCAAATGGTAGAACGACTGGTCGTTATGACATGCACTGATCACCAGGGGGCAGACACTCAATGCAGGAGCTGCCCCCTGGTGGTCAGTGCACTCTCACAGGGGGAGTACCGCTTAGCCAGAAGCCGGGCTCATTGTTGGTGAGTGTAATGGTGGTGGCAGGAGCCTCTCCCTCTTCCATGGCAGTGCTAAGGATGTCTGACTGCTGGCTTAAACATGTCAGTCGGACATCCCCGAGGGTTCCTGGACTGCGAGAGGGTGCAGGCCAGGCGGAGGGCCCCCCCCCCCGAGTGCACAAATTTCGTGCACTGGGCCTCTAGTATAGCTATAGATCTGTATGAAGCAATGCTGATAAGTTTCATGATTAAACACTGAACAATTAGTTAATGGACAACATTAACATATGACAGGAGGGAGTGGTAAGGAGTATATTTGGGAAAGGGTAGAGATACTAAAAATCCTTATATATAATTAAGTCATTATGCATGCTAAGTATTTAAAAATAATTATTTAATCAATAATTATTCATATATAATTATATAATCATAAGAGCATAATCAGTTATTAATAATTAAATTATGTATACTTCATAATCTAACAGGAAATAAAAGTGACTAAATAAATTCAGTTGATTCAATAAGAGGTACTGAATAAGAGAAAAATCTTTTTCTTACACATGATCTAATTAATAGCAAATAAAAATTTAGAAATATGGGTTTTAAATGTTGGTCAAAGTTTATTACAGAAAATCATTTTTAAAAATCATTGCTATATCTATGAAACCAGCCAGCTGTATTGTTAGTGTTTACAGTGATCAAAGAGTTTGCATCACTCAGTCTGAACATTGCCCACCACTGGCAAAACACATAATATGCTAAGAGACCACACACATTGTATTTTCCAGGCAGAGCCCTCTTCACATACAACATACTAATGAAGATTTTATTTCCTTGAGGAAATAATGTGAGATTGACTGAAGTTATATATGTACACAATGCTAAAACTATTCAGAAGCTTGAATGGTTAGATTGGTTAAATGGCATCTGATAGACAATTTTCTTGAATGATAAAAAATGACCAAAATTTTCTTCAGTATATTTAGAGCAAAGGTTAATCTCCACAAACATAATACATAATAAAAATTATATTGCCAAATTGGTACTGTTAAATGAAGCATGAAAATGATTGCAAACTTAAAGCTAAAGGAGAAAATTCTGAAACATCTGAAAATTCATGAGTTTTTTAAACCTATCTCTCCTTCTATTATTCTATTTTTTTCCAGTTTGCTAAAGGGAAAGATGAATGACATTGGCATTATTACCTAGCCAAAGGTAATAAAGACAAAGGAATCATTACCCAGAGAAGATAATAAAATTTATCATGTGTGTTGATGTCTTGGACAAAGTCATACATGATTTGTTGATAAAATATCTGATGACATTAAACTAATAAGGATAACACATTGGATAATAATCCTATGACACAAAAATATATTAATAGGCTAAAAACAGTGGCATTTCTCCCACAATGTGAAGTCTAATGAAATACTTACAAATACCGACATGTGTCCTGAGTGCCCACTTTGAAAGAAAGTCATAGTAACAATGATGAGGATGATATAGTGATGGTGACAATATTGATTGCATTTATAAGGCACTATGTTAATTACTTGGTTGCTGTGAAAATTAAATGCTTACTGTGGGGAACAACCAGTTGGGATCAATGACTTCATGTTAAACTCATTCTGTGTCTGTAATCACAAGTGTTCCTCTCCTGCACATCACTCACAATCTGATGAATGAAGGGCTGCAGATTTGGACATCTCACTTGGTATTCCTTCATTAACTCAATAAATATCTATTGAACAACTGTTAGGTTGTATCACTCATTTAGATGTTGAAGGT